ACTCATCTGACCACACTCTTTCTCTGGCCTGAGGTGGCTGTATTTCATAGCCTGGACTGGTGGCTTTATGCCAGCCCTGCTGCCTGGGGAGGTGTTGCCTGGAGGGTTAGATGCAGACAGAGAGAGGCAGGTCTTCAGGAGGGAGATGCTGTCTGTCCCCCATGGCACCAGATAGCTGAAGACATGGCGGCATAAGGCAAAGCTCTGTGTTCCCTCAATCCATCCATCCCGGGAGAAGAATATCATATTTGGTAAAGTGGAAGGTCAGAGAAACCCTTTTGGATTGGCACAGTGCCAGCAGCAATGGGCTCAATGTCGTGGCAATTGTGAGGTTGGCGCAGGACTGGGCAGTGCTTCGTTCTGTTGTGTATAGGGTCACTATGAGTTGGTACTGACTGAGGGCACCTAACAATATCCATCCTAGGCTGAGGGCAATGAAACGGTCCCTGATGTGTGCCCTTTCCCAGAATACCACCTGGGTGTTATCTTTCTTGTGGTTCCCTATGGAAACCGAAACAGCCAGATTGAAGAGCTGCTTGCATATATATATTTTAACTTCTGAAGGCCTTATGAGGGGTTAGAGGCACTTCTACATTTAAAAAAGACTTGTCAGACATAAAGGTCCCTGGGTGGCACAATTCTCGCTAACCAAAAGTTTGACTGTTGAAATCCACCCAACAACGTTGTAGAAGAAACTGCTGGCGATCCATTTTCTTGAAGATTACAGGCATGAAAATCCTATGAGAGCCGTTCTCAATGTAACACATTGGGGTGGCCGTGCCTTAGAAATCTACTCTATGGCAACAGAGTTGCACCGATTTGGTCAGACATTAAATGACAGAAGAAAGTTAATGATGAAAAAAGTTGGAGAGCCAATTGGGTGCTTAACTTGGATGAGGTTGGGGGCTCTGTACCATAGTTCTTGGCCCTGTTTCCTTTACACTCTTAACACGTTTAAAGAAGGCAAGTTAATTTAACGATTAGGTCATTTTATGAAGGATTATTCTGTAGCAATAGATGAATAAATAATATTCTGGGTTTGGGGCATATTTCTTTAGTGTTTTAAAGGAGAACTTGTGGCCCATAAATAGTTTTGGGGGAGGCGGGGTGGAATTCAAAGGTGGCAATGGGGTGAGGTGCTTTCAATACATTAAAACTGTGTGTCTGGGAGGAAAATGACAATCCATGTCTGTTTAATATGTAACATATGGGAGGATGGAGACGCTGAGAGGAGAGTGGCGGGTGTGCAGTTAGTTGTTAGAGAGAGATGGTGAATGCGCGCGCAACGAGGATCGGATGGGCCAGGCAAGGTTGGGAGTTGGGATTAAATCTTTCTGGAAATGGAAGGATGCTTCCTAATCAGGTGTCAGGTAGTATCTCCAGCTCATAGGTTTCCGCTGGCCCACGCACACCCTCATCGTCACACCTCCGGGAACGCTCCTTAGCTATGTTATTTACCCAAACTCAGATCGCGCGCGCAAGCAGACACACTCCTACGCGCCCCAGCCCAAGGACGCTCTTAGACTTGGCCTGTTGATCGCAGGGCAAGAAATCCCTTTATAAGGACCTCCAAACCCAAATTCCCAGAGAAACTTTAATAGGAGGTAGAAAAGTGTTTGATAATGGGGGAGGGGGGGAAATTCTGCTTGCTTGCAGTTCTGCGGAAGGCCAGAATGTTACAATAAACTGTTGCATTCCAGAGCTGGGGAAGGAAGGGGGAGGAGGAGAGAGCAAAGAGACCGACAGGAGAACTTGGAAGGCGAAATCAGAAACTCAGGCAGCGAAAGCCACTGGGGCCGCAGGGGGCTGGCAGGGGGCGGAGGAGGCCGGGGAAGGGTTAACGCAAGAGTGGAGCGTGCGGCGGGGGCGGTCCGGGCGCGGGCCCTTTAAGGCGGGCGGCGCGGGGCGGCCGAGCGCGGCCGTGATTGGCGCGGCAGGATCACTAGCTCCCGAAGCCCGGCCCGGGGGAGTCGGCTGGAGCCGGCTGCGCTTTGATAAGGTCCTGGCAACTCAGTAACAACGCGAGTGCTTGGAAATAAAAATATCCCCTAACAGCCCTGGATTTCGGGGCAACCCGGCATCCGAACCGCCAGCCTTCCCCGCAGAAAGTCCTCGTGTAAAAGGTGGGGGTGGAGGCCCGGGTCCCAAAGAACTGCTTCCAAGAAAGCCATTCCTTGGCTGCGGGGCGAGGTCGCGCGAAGCCTTGTCGCGGGCGTGGGGGGTGGGAAAGGCCCCGCGGGGCCGGAATTAGGTCGGTCAGGGGGCAATGAGCCGGGTGACCCAGAGGGGAAGCTCTGGGGGCCCGGGATACGGCCCGGGGCGTGATGGGCGCGTACCTCCCTTTCAGGACCGTGCGCTCGGCTGGCGCCTTTGAAGTGCACAGTTAAATCCACAGCGCAGTTTTTGTTGGAAGCGCCCGGAGGACATTTGGTGCGCGGAGTGACTGCTGGAAACAGGACCTGTGTTGAAAGCCGGCCGGGCGGGCGGGGCCGGGGGACCGAAGGGCCGGGGGCGGCCGCGGCGGGGTGGCGGGGGCGGAGGCCCAGGCGGTTCTTTTGCATAAAAGGGGCGGCGGGGTGCGCCGCGCGACCCTCGGTGGCGGGTGGATTGCGCTCTAATCCGGAGCTTGTTCCACCGCCCCCTCCCCGCTGCACGACTCCCCATGCGCCCCGCCGCCGGGGTCGGCCCGGGGGGGCCCTGGGCTGCCGCCGGGAGGCTAACCGGGAGCCGGGACCCGGGCCCTGCCCAAGGCGCCAGCCAGCTTTCGCTGCGGAGCGCGCGCGCCGATCCATGGTGAGTGCCAGGCAGCGTCGGCGGGGCGGCCCGCGCGCTTTGATGTGCCGGGCGGCCCTTTGAAGTTCTGGCGAGCTATTTCGGGGCGCGCTCGCGACCGACTTGCTGGGGGAACCGGAGCCGGGTGCCCAGCGCTCCGGGAGCTCGGTCTGGCCGGCGTGAGCCGGAGCCCCTTCCCCTGCGCTGGCCGAGATGGCGGGGGGCCTAGCCCTGCGACTTGGCCTAGTGACGGCGGGGGCGGAGAAGGGTAGGTCCCCCAGGGGTCGCGTCGCTGTCGCCCTTCTGGACAGATGCGAGTCTGTGAGTGCGCGGGAGTGCTTTTGGAAGGTGGGATGAAAGGGTAGTGGCTCCCCGCCCTCCCCACGCACCCTCCCCCAGTCCTCACCCCCACCCAGCTCCCCTCCCTCCTCCCTCCCACCTCTCCTTGCGCTAAGGGGCCCCGAGCGCCGGCTGCGGCTCAGTCTGGGCTTAGGACCGGCCCGAGCCTGGGTGTCCGCGTTCCTCCTTCTAGCTCGGGCCCCGCGCCCCTGGCCGCCTCGGCCCCCTCTGCAGAGAGGCAGAGACTCACGCGTCGCCATTTCTGGACTTGGTGACGGCTTTCGGTGCTTTTTCTGCGGGCGCCTCTGCGAGTTGCAGAGCCGCTGAGCCACTGGGCTCCGGGCACTGCTCCTACTCCTGGGAGCTCCGGGTCCGCCTTCGACGGCTAGGTCGTTGAGGCTTTGGATGCGTTTGGTTTACTTTGAGCCGGAGACCGGTGCCGAGGGGCTTGGCAAAGATGAGAGCCCGGCCTGGGGCAGCTTTCTTCTTCCAGGTAACGGGGCCGCCTCTCCACCTAGGGGGTACGGGGGGGGGGCGAATGCTGCCAGCGGCCCCTCTACTCCGCGCGCCGCGATGACCGGCCCGACCGCTGAGGCCCTTAGTGGGGGCAGCGCGCACCCACCCAAACCTGGGACTCCGGGAGCCTCGCCCCGGGTCGCGCGCGCCAGTCCCCGGCCCGCCCCTGCCCTCTTTAGTTTGATGCTTCGCGTGCTTAGAGAAAGCGGCTTGTTTATTGGTAGATAAGATTCACCACCACCACCACCCCCCGGTTTTTTTGGGTGTTTTTTTTTTTTTTTTGGAAAAAAAGGCAGGGTTGAGATCAGTAGAGTTTGGGACTCGACTCTTGGCACAGTCAGTGGCAGCGTGAGACGGTTTCGGATCCGGTTTTGTAGGGTTCGCTCCGGGAGGTGGGCTGGGGGCGGGGCGGAGGCGGCGGGTCCGGTGGCTTCTCTGTTCTTTAGCGAAGTTGGTAGATCAAAGGCTCGGCTGAGTAAGTAGGGCTCTGGTTTTGGGGAGCGGGGGAGACTGAAGTGGAGACTGAACCGGATTCTTGGTTGGACATTTACATGTTAGCTGGGGTTGTTTGCCTATTGGGTCTGGGGTGAGGGGGGGCGGACTTTGCCTACTGCATCTGTGTTGGGGTGGGGGCGTTTGCCTGCTGGATTGAGCGTTCTGCTGCTCATTCCGTTCCGTGCGGGGCGGGCTGCTTTCGGGAACGGATCTTCTGAATTTTTAAGGAGTGGAGAGGGGAGCACAGAAGGAAGGGGGTGGGTGGGGGAATGGGAACCAGATGCCGAGGAAGGGCACGTTTGGAGCTCGAGTTATCTGTACAGAGAGCCGAGCTGGGAAATTTACCGAAAATTGGTTTCACCTGTACCCAGCCTGGCGTTTGTTTCCAAGTGGGTCTTTTGGAGTCAAAGCTATCTAGGGAGGGGGCGGGAGTGGAGGTGCGGCCTCCGCTGTCCTGCGAGCTTGGTTAGATGGGCTGAACGGGTTTTTGGACGGTTATCTGCCCCCCTCCAACTCCCTGCCTCTCTACTCGCTCCCCCCAACCCCACCCCAAAAGAAGTACTGAGAGCTCAGATTTCGCCTTTGAAAAAAAAAAGTAGCAGATACTAGATGTGCACCTCGAAGATAGCTGGGTTGCTTGATTTGAATTTGGGGAGTTGAAAAGCCTGTTTACTTTCTTGCTTTGATGTTGGGTAGATCTGGTTGTGATTAGATCGATACCCTTTTCTCTCTTACCACCTCCCCCCTTCCTTTTCTTTCCAGAGAGGAGGCTCAGATGAACCCCTGCTGACTTAAAGAGAGAGAAAGAGAGACCACGCTGATTGCTGAGAAGAATTGGAAGGGGGGAAAAAAAGCCCCAAACTTAGAACTCCTTCATCATGAGTAGCGCTGTGTTGGTGACTCGACTCCTGGACCCCAGCAGTAGCTTCAGAGAGGATGCCCCTCGGCCCCCGGTACCAGGGGAAGAAGGGGAGACCCCACCCTGCCAGGCTGGCCTGGGCAAGGGTCAGGTCACCAAATCCATGCCCGTATCCTCCAACACCCGGAGGAATGAGGATGGGCTGGGAGAGCCTGAGGGGCGGGCGTCCCCAGATTCCCCTCTGACCCGGTGGACCAAGTCTTTGCACTCCTTGTTGGGCGATCAAGATGGAACTTATCTTTTCCGGACTTTCTTGGAGAGAGAGAAATGTGTGGATACCTTAGACTTCTGGTTTGCCTGCAATGGATTCAGGCAGATGAACCTGAAGGATACCAAAACTTTAAGGGTAGCCAAAGCAATCTACAAAAGGTACATCGAGAACAACAGCATTGTTTCCAAGCAGCTGAAACCAGCCACCAAAACCTACATACGGGATGGCATCAAGAAGCAGCAGATAGACTCCGTTATGTTTGATCAGGCGCAGACGGAGATCCAGTCGGTGATGGAGGAAAATGCCTACCAGATGTTTTTGACTTCTGATATATACCTCGAATATGTGAGGAGTGGGGGCGAAAACCCCGCATACATGAGCAGTGGAGGACTGGGGAGCCTGAAGGTCTTATGTGACTACCTCCCCACCTTGAATGAAGAGGAGGAGTGGACTTGTGCTGACTTCAAATGCAAACTCTCACCCACTGTGCTTGGTTTGTCCAGCAGAACTCTGAAGGCCACAGTTAACGTGAGGTCCACGGAAGCAGTTGAAAATGGATACAGGTAAGACTTGGGCAGCAGCTGGGGGAGGAGCGTGTGTGTGTGTGTGTGTGTGTGTGTGTGTGTGTGTTGGAGGAAGATAAGGGCTTTGCAGATGTTTTGAGTTAAGTAGGGTGGATGGATGGATGGATGGATGTGCCCCTGAGGCTGACAGAGGGTCTCTTGAGAGCCAGGACCCCTGGCCTTGAACCCTTTGATCTCGCTTTTGGTTGTTTAAAGGGGGACTAGGGATGCACACACCGCTAAATACCTCCAGTACTGACATCAAACAGTGGCACGCTGTGTTCATTAATGTGTGTTACTTCTTATCCTGGGCTGGAGTCATAGAAGGGGTTGAGAGGAAAAGAGGAGAGCAGCTTGTGATGACTCTGAGTCAGCAGCCACTCAGCCCCACTTTTTTGGAAGGGGGCATGCCACCACTCATCAGTAGAGAGAGGAATTAACGGTGCCTGAGAGGCAGCTGGGCTGTGGTGGAGACACAGGAAGCAATGTGTGCAACCCACTGAACAGAAGGGTAAGTGGGACCTTTTGCACTTTATGTTAAGAGCTAGCAATTGGCTGAAGGAGCTGGTGGTTGGTTCTCTTTGTGGAATTAGATCTTTACCACCAAGGAAAGCTTCTAGGGAAGGGCTTGGGACTTTCTTGGATGAAGGACACTTTGCTTTCTTTTCTGGTGGGGTTTAAATTCCATTTTTAAGTGTTTGCAAGTTGGAGGGTCCCACCTCAGTTGATTCCTTTGTTGCTCGGTGCTGATGGAGAGAACAGTTTTTGGTCCGGAGGACTAAGGTCCTGAGGTACTTTCTCTTTTTGAGGCTTCAGACAGTCTTTTATAGAATGGCTAAGTCTTAAGATTCTTGACTTAGCCATTCTGTTAGGATGGGTTTTTCTGGTTTTCCTCCTCTCTCCTCTTCTAAAGATCGCCAAACAGAAAATGCTTTCTAATTCTAGATTGTTGCCTAGATATGCAAGAGATGGTTTGGGGGGCTTGTTTGCTATCGGAATGCCTTATCCTAGCAATCCAACCTGGGTTCCTCCATGTGCTGCCTCTAATGTGGCCTCCAGAGTGACTGACCATGAGCATCTTGAGGTAGCCAACCTAAGCCTAGCAGGCCATGATGTGTAGGGGGTTGGCCAGAAAGGTTGACTGCTCTTGGGGAGGAGACAGGGTTCTCCAACCACCAGGGGGCGCACTTACAGCTTTGGAAACCCCATCTACCCACACAAAGCTGTCTGGTCTTAACCCCTAAGTTGCAGTGAGTTGACTTTTGCAGGGACACATTGGATCCCATGAGGAAGTTGTTTCAGCCTCTTTAAGTGTATGGTTTCAGATTGTTTTGGAGGAAAATGCCAGGTCTGCTCTCAGGAAGTAAGGCCTCTAGAGCTGGCTGGACAATCACTAGGCACCTGCCAGCTACTTCCCCCCTCTATTTGGGGAGACTCTGCTAGCTTCCCTGCCCTCCAGCTTAGCAGCTGGAGAAGAGACTCCTAAGGCCTACGGTAAAGCTGTTTCCCCAGGGCCCTATGACAGTGAGGCTTCTGTCCCCAGTGTCCAGACCCAGCCCACCTTGGTAAATAGCACAGTGTGTGGTCAGGCAGTAAAGCCCTGCTGGGACTATTCTTTTGTGGGTGCCTCTCCCCGTTCCAGAAACTTCAGCTGGGATCGGGCCAGGATACAATTTGTTGGATAGTAACTCTAAGAAAGCTTTTGGGTTCCTGGAGCCAGGGCTAGAAGGTCCTGAGAATTTCGAGTGCTGCTTCTTGGTTGTAAATTATGGGCACCCTTGATCTATAGACCACACATACAGAGCCTTGCTCTATACATCACAACTTTTCATTGGCCTCTTATGTTTCCACGTAGGATTTTTGCTGGTTTTCTCCCCCTGTTGACTGTTCACTGGACTGCATGAAGCCCATATACTTTAATTCTGGAGACCATCAAAGAGAATTTAAGACATATCCAAGTTATCTAATGTTTTAATAAGCAGATATTAAAGTATATGTCTTTATTTTAATATGCCGATAGTAAAGTGTGTGCGCCATGTTTGGGGTATGTGCTGAAGTTCCATGTGGATCACTGCCATCTACCCAGGTTGGAGCCTTTCAGAACCCCAGGTGCCCATCTGCAAAATGGGTTGGCACCATCCCCTCTCTCTGTTGTAGGGTTGTTATTAGGAAGAAAAGAATAAACACGAAAGCCCTTTGTAAATGGGAACGCTTTGAGTAGACATAAAAGGTCCATAATTAGTATAATTAATAATGATAATAATTGATGTGTCAAAAGAGTAACCAGGTTAGATTAGACTACCCCAGTTTTAGTCCTTAGCCCGGATTTCATTGTCACGTTTTCTACCTTAACTTTCTGTACTTCTCAAACTGAAGTCGCTCTTTCCAGTCAGGCTGCTAGTTGTTAGAATGTAAGTCTATCTACTGTGTAGGGTTACTTTTCCCTTCCCTTGTACACACACTCACTCATAGTGCAAAGTACCCAGCTCGGTAAGTTAGTAAATGAATGAAATAGACAACACCGATTCTGCTGAGGGTTCTCCTCCCTCAAGCTATTGAAGAGCAGGCTTGGCAGCCGAGTGCTCAGGGGGACTGGCTGACCTTCCAGGGCTGTGTTTACCTTGGGCCCTCAAAGGAGCCTCATTTTTAATGACTTGTTTGTGTCCTTACTGATTTGGTGTCAGGTTTAATATAAATAGTTGGGACGGAAGAGCAGGAATTATCCTCAGAGGGAAAGACTCTGGGTTGAGTGGTTGCGTGGGATGCCTCAGCTTTTGATGGTCTCTATAAATAACCCAGAGCAGAAGCAACCTGTTGGGAGAAGAACGTGTCAGAAACCACACACACACACACACACACACACACACACACACGGAGTGTCACTGTGTGCTGAGGGATTGTGGGATGAGGAGTTCAGTCCAGCATTTATTTTGGGAAGGAGAAGACAGTGCTGGGGACTCGGATCTCACTGTGCCCTTGCTTTACTGCCCTGGCGTGTATATGTGCCTACCTCCCATGGGGCCTCTGTTCTGGCCTCACTTAAAATAAAGTCTGGGCCCAGCAGATGGCCCTCTGCTGGCTCCAAGCACTCCTTGCCCTCTCCAAGAACTCACAGATGAGGCCCGTTTTGGGGCGAAACCATTGGAATCAAGCTTGGCTTCAATTATCAAAGAAAGTGATGCCATGGGAAAGCTATGCTGTAAGCCGGAGTCCACAGTTAGGGCTTGGGAGCGCTGATGAACCAACCCTGTTTGCTAAAACACACTTGTCACAAAGTTCATCGTTTTTGTGAAAAGATCTTAATTGCTCAATGCTGTTTGAGATCTGGACCCTTCATTGAATGTCACATGGTCTTGGGTTCGAAGACACCACATGGAGAAAATTCTCTCCAGCCAGTTTGAGAAGCATTGTTTTGAGAGAGGACCCAGGAAGGTAGGCCCTAAGGTTTGATCTTTAGGGCTCCTGGGTATGGTCTCTTTGCCATGGTGTAAGGAGGAGAGAAGAAGAGTGTGGCAGACTCTCCTTGTTTGCCCCCTGGAACCTCTGCTGTGTAACAGTTGAACACTCTTGGCTGATTGAAGTTGTTGCCACACGAGGTGTGGAGATACACGCCCAGTGCAAAGTCTTAATCCATAGGTTCTGCACTTTCCGGAGGAAGTTAAAATCCTCGCTGTCACTGAGCGCAAAGCAGTACTGAAGAAATCATCCAAACATCTGGTTACAATTACTGTAGCAGGCTCAAGTTTCTTTCCCCTTTTCTTTCCTCCTAAGTAATCTCAAGAAAACAGCTCTAATCCGTTGTCTTAAAATTATGTGGCGATTTCAAGTAAGCTATGGGTTCTTCAAAAAAGGAGTTCCTGTGTCTTCCCCACAAGCCGGCCTCCTTCCTCGGCCTCATCTCGTTATGCTTATAGGGAAGGAAACACAACAATTTTATTGCCGTCAGCGGAGTTCAGAGCAGTGTATTCCATTTTTAATTGCTGGCCACACAGTAGTCCTCTATTTTGGAAGTGAAGAGAGACAAGTTTATTTTGGGATCAGTGTGCTAAAAAATGAGTGTAAAGTTGTGCGAACTCACGCCGGATTTGAGTTAGGTGCCCTGTTTTGTTGGGCAGGAAGGAGTATCTCTTGAGACATTTTCTCCTTGTAGAGGCTGAAGCAGTCCTCTTTTGGGACATTGTTGACGTGTTAATATGACAAAGATAGCAATGTGGAAAGGATAGAAAAAGCATGTGGACGCCTGGTTTAGCTTCTCTGACCCTGGGCTACATCTCTTAAATTAAAACAACTTTGCAGTGACCCATCTGGTGAAACTACGTCATTGTATGAGGTCCAACAAAGCTTTGAGCTCCAGCCATGGGTCATGGACTGCTTTCAGTGCTGGGGAGACATCTGAGAAGAAGACAGATGTGACCCTTACCCTCATGGAGTTTACAGTCGAGTTGCTGGAGACAGCAGACATTCCGCATGTAAATGTACGCAGATGGTGTATAGTTACAGGGCGAGATCGATGCTATAGAAGACCTACGAGAGCATCTGCGAGAGCAGGAGCGCCCTGATTTTGTTGGTGGGTTGGCTTTTCGGAGTATTGCTGTTCGCTCTGAAGTGGACAGTGCCCTTCAGAGGATGAAAGCCCCTCTTGCTTGTGGCCATGTTTGAACTACTGATGTTTCAGGTGGATACTCCCAAGTCTGGAGGGTGAGGTGGCTGTAACTTGCCTGTGGTCACCTAACTGGCCAATAGGTAAGCCATCACCAGCTCTTGGTCTCTTGACTTTTGGTCTCTGAAGCATCTACAGAGCTTACTTGTCTTTAGGTTCCTGAAGAATTTAGCTTGCCCATTCTGTTTGAGGCAGCAAGCAGCCTTGGGAACTTGGACTGTGCTAGAGACTTGAGTGTTTCCATTATCTGCCCTCATCCACTCTGAGAGTCCACCCTAACCATTTAAAAGAACTTGCTTCTTTCTAACATTTTCCTCTTGTTATATCTCTAGTGGTGATACCAAACAGAGCTGTTCTCCTAGACAGTTTCCTTATCGACTAGGAGATTTTCTAGTGAATTGTCCTTCAGACTTTTCCAGAAGAATCTCCTGCCTCTCATTCGGTCTTACTATCCCTCTCTGTCCTTGGTATCAGGGAATCCCAGACTGAGGACGTAAGAACCAGTCTAAAGCATGGAAGATCTTAGCATTCTCACTTCATCGTCACGAAAATTCCCAGGAGGTGGTGAGTCATCTCACTGTCTACAGATACAACAGGGCAGGAGAGGCCAAGTTGCAGGCCTCTTGGTCAGAGGTGTCTGACACCCATGGGTTCATGTAAGACAGTCTTGCTTTGCACCTTTGTCCAAGTCTACATTATGTTCTTGATCTGGCCTTACTGAAGTTCTAGTTAATGCAGTGGAACAGCATCCAGGCCCCTGCTAAAGTTGAGTTCTCTGGGAGTTGAGATGTTGTCAAGTTCACCTGGCCGGTGTCCAGTGGGTTGGCCCTCAACAAGGCTCTTGGCTTTGTGTGGGCCTCCTCCGTTGTGAAGATGAAAGATGACTGAGCGCAGTAAGTGTTCATTGAGCACCTACTGTGTGTGGCATTGGTCTCGGTGCTGGGGTGCAGCAATGAAGATTACAAAGATCCCTGCCCCCCAGTGGAGCTGTCATTGAGTTTACGACACGTGCGTACGTAGGAACGTGCCTAGCACATAGTGAGTGCTCAGTCAATGGCAGCTCTTGATTTTGTTAACATACCTCAACCAAGGGCATTGAATTTAGGTGATTTCTGGTTCATCTTCACCACTTAGACCCACACAAAGGCCCAGAGACTTGCTGGGGGCCAACCTGCTGTATACACTGGGCAGATGGACCCCTACAACATCTCAACTCTTAAAAGAACTCTTAGATAATTTCTAGGTTCATTCTGGCTTTAAAGTTTTACGACTCTGATGGTAACATTTCATGGTGGTTTTCTGCAATAGATACAAGCTGTGTAAAGACAGGGATGGTCTCTTCTACCTTCTCTCTCATCCCCACTTCCCTCCAGATTATGGCAACAACTTCCCACTGGGCTCCTTGCCAGCCCCCACCCCTCCATAGGGTCTCACCTGGTGGTGCATTTGGGTCACATGCTGCTGGGGAACCCCCCTTTCTTCTTCCCCAGTGAAGCAGGACTCTGGCTCTGCTCTAAAGACCTATTTCTCGGTCCCACCAGGTCTTCCTGACCAGACTAGCTGGACCTTGCCTGTCCTAATCTGGGGCGGGCTTTTCACTGCCTTTCCTTCCCTTCCTTCACTCTTGGGTGCCCTCTCCTTGAATTCCTGCCCACCTATCAAGGTGCAACTTGCTTCCACGTCTCTCAGGATGCCACCCCCAGCCATTCTATCGAGAAACATCCGCTCAGTTTTGTGGGTTCCCTAATCCAGGTCCTTCATAATTTGCCTCTTGGTCTAAAATAGCTTTCAAAATATGTTGAAGGTAGCTTTGGTTAGGAGACAGAGAAAAAGGTTCAGTGAGCCAGTTGAATCAATCCCAGGCCCATCAGCTCTAGCTGTGGGGTCCAGGGCAGGCTGCTATACTTTGGGGGCCTCATCTGTGAAATGGGCACAGTGTGTCTTTTCCTTCAGGAGGCTGTGAGGAAGAAACGAGAGGATTCTTTAAAGATGCGCCCATGGTACACTGTGTATACCTTCTTCATGGTACCCCCAACACATGTAATATAGGGGCTCCTCTCTCCTCCTCCTGTAATCATGGTTACCAGGAGACCCAGGACTGTATAAACCCAGAGTTCAGCATAATGCTACACTCATGGTAAGTGAGCAGGAAGTTGAGGAGCATGGGCAGACAACTGAGGATCCGGGACCTTCCCAGAGTCCCTTTCATTTGCCCCCCTAAGGCCTCTTAGGGTAGACCAGCTGAAGACCCTGATGTGGTTTGTTCTCATCTGAGCCTTCCTACTCCTCTGTGAAACAGAGTATGCCAGGGTCTTTGTACACAAGACCCCCTGCAACTTCAGGTTTTAACAGGCCCTTCCTGCAACCCACTGACCCCCTGTGGCCCCTTCCCCTGGAAGAGACCATCCCCCTGCCCACCCCAGTCCTTCTCACTGGAGACAGAAAAGAATGTGGCCCAGCAGGAGACAGGCACACTGGTTCTTTCTGGGAAGAGATCAAGAGGGCGATAAAGTGGGGACCAGAGGCTCCTGAAACAAAGGGGCTGGAAACAAGGAGGGGAGGGGCCAGGGCCTGCCTTTGAAACAGCTGCGCTGCTCACTTTAATCCCCCTGGTTTTAGCCCACTCTGGGAGAAGGAAGCTCTGTGCAGGGAGGGGGCAGGGTGGAGGTCCAGCTCCTAGCTGGAATGGGAATTCGCAACACTATCTTGAACTTTTGGGTCCAGTGTGTCCAACTTGCCAGGTGTTGGTGTGACATCACCACACCAGGTCACTGGAGTGTGTGGATCCCTGAACTCCGCTAGCAGACACCAGACTGGGAGTTCGGCTGTTTAAAAGGTCCTGTTGTTATGAAGTGCCATGAGTCGATTCCGACTCAGAGTTATGCCGTGTAGGGTTTCCTGGTGAGTTTGAACTGCTGACCTTGAGGCTCAGACTGACTTGTGACCTGCTGCTTATTCTACAGTGCCAAGAGGTTAGGGCCCTGAAATTGTCTTCCCATATTCCACTTGGAGTCACTTTTCTTCCAAAATCGTGTCTGGTCACGGCTCCTTTGCAGGTGGATGGGTCTGATTTTTTAAGGCAGTCCAAGTCCTTGTGGGTGGGAGAGGTGTTCCATTTCCATTATCTTGCTCCCCTCACTCACTCCATAGTCCCCTTTCCAGAGCAGTCTGTTCCTCTGTGTGTTTAGAACTTGGCACTGGGATGCTCTGTTCCCTGGAAGGGTCTGCCCTGGGGACAGAGGAACCATTTGAGATACTGGGGTCAGCTGGCTCCACTTTTAGGTTCCTGCTTTCTGTCCAGATGAACTGCTGGAGTTGGGCACCAGGTTGGCATGGAACAGCCTTGGAGGTGGTTGGTGCCTTCAGTTGTCGTGAGATCGCCTGGTTCACCAGGGTTCCTGGTAAAGCTCTTTTTCTTTTCCCTGTAGGTCCTTCAAGAGGAATGACCCTATTAGTCCGTACCATGTAGGTTCTGGCTACGTCTTTGCGCCTGCCACCAGCGCGAATGACAGCGAGATTTCAAGTGATGCCCTGACCGATGATTCTATGTCCATGACAGACAGTAGCGTGTAAGTATCCCGGGAGCCTCACACGTCTGTGGTTGGGAATAAGAAGCCACCTGTGTGACATCACCCACCCGCCTCACCTGGCCGTGCACATCCCAGCTGTGTGTGCAGTGACAGGTGCCGTAGAGTGGCTAAAGAGAGGAGATGCTAATGCGGGTAGTGTTAAACTTGTTGTCAAGTACCATCAAGTCGATTCTGACCCATAGCCACCCTGTGTAGGGTTTCCAAGGAGCAGCTGGTGAGCTTGAACCTCCGACCTTGCCGTTCAAACAGCTTTACGTTCTGGTGTATGAACCCACAGCGCCACACCAGGACTAGTGTTAAGGTTACAGCCTTGGGAAGAAAGTTGGATGAAGCCTGTGCAGATGAAAACTAACTTAACACTTAGAAAAAAAACTTCTACATGAAGTTGAAGGTTAAGATGATTCTTTACAGATTTCTCAATTTAAAGAAAAAAAAAATGTATCAGTTACTGTTTTTGCATGCTTTCCTTGTGACTGTAATTGCTTGGCAGGTCTTGAACCCTCCGAGTGTTTCACCTGTGCTGAACCAACAGGTGGGAGGAGACAGGGTGGCATAAGAGAGTTTATGGTTAGGAATTCAGTGATTTTGAAGGAAATGCATCTTGAAGGTAAGGGTCAGGAAGCCAGAGCAGTCTGTAGGGTGACTGTGTGTGCGATGATCCTATGTGTTGTTGTTAGGTGCCATCGAGTCAGTACTGACTCATAGTGACCTTATGCACAAGAGAAGAAACACTGCCCAGTCCTGTGCCAACCTCACAATCATTGCTGTGCTTGCTGCTGCCACTAGGCTCTTTGGGGGAAAGGGGGGGATCTTCCTCTTTTTCACTAACCCTCCACTTTGCCAAGCATGATGTTCTCTTCCTGGGACTGGTCCCTCCTGGTAACATGTCTGAAGTCTGGCCATCTTGGCTTCTAAGGAGCACTCTGGCTGTACTTCTTCCAACACAGGTTTGTTTGTTCTTCTGGCAGTCCATGGTACTTTTCATCTTCTCTTCCAACACCGTAACTCAAATGCATTAATTCTTCTATGGTCTAACTTACTCATTGTTCCACATGCATATGAGACTATGGAAAATAGCATGGCTTGGGTCGTGACATCTTTGCTCTTGAACACATTAAAGAGGTCTTGTGCAGCAGATTTGCCTAATGCAATACACCCTTTGGTTTCTTGATTGCTGCTTCCATGAATGTTGATGGTTGATCCAAGCAAAATGAAGTCTTTGACAGCTTCAATATTTTCTCTGTTTATCTTAATGTTATTTACTGGTCTAGTGGTGAGTATTTTTGGTTTCTATAGATTGAGGTGCAACCCATAGTCATATGGTGGTTGTTGGTTATATGCTGTGGGGTCAGTTCTGACTCATAGTGACCCTGCATAGGCTTTCCGAGGCTGTAAATCTTTACGGGAGCAGAAAGCCTCCTTTTTCTCCTGCGGAACCACTGGTAGTTTCGAACTGCTGACCTTGTGTTTAGCAGCCTGATTCGTAACCACTACACTACCAGAGTCACATGGTGTTATTGTTACATGCTGTCAAGTTGATTCCAACCCATAGCAACCATGTATAGGGTTTCCGAGGAGCAGCTGGTGAGCTTGAACCACCAACTTTGCACTTCAGATGACTTTGCAGTCAGACACATTAGCCCACAGCGCCACACCAGAGTAATATAGATACCTTTAAATGGAGATCATTTAATTAAGTAAGTGTTGAGGGCTGCCTACTATGTCAGACATTGAAGACCCAAAGTAAGGCTTCCTGCTTATAGTCATACTTGGTGACGTGTCTTCTCTCCACATGGTCTTGGATCCTTTGCAGTTGGATGACTTTGATTTAAAGGCGATCTAAGTCATTTGGGTGGGGGGTCCTCCATGGAGAATGGCTCGGTGTGTCCCCCTCTAATACCATTCTTCAAGCTTCTGATTCTGCACAACTAGGGGTGGATATGGTTGAAACTTCTCAAGCGCTTCTCATACCACATCCAGCTGAGAACCACACTTCAAGAAATGGCTTTTGAAGATGCTTCTACAGATGTTTTGGTGGGAATTTCACCCAGGAAAATTGGCCTATGTAACTTCTGGTATTCTTACTTAGAGTTTGTCCCTTTTGCAGACTTCTGAAACTGCACCGTCTCTTTTTCCAGTCCCTTTGAAAATATCTGGTTTTTCTTGGCCAATGTTCTGTTGCTTGGCTTGTGGTATAAAACCAGTTGGAAGGGAAACTTTATGAGGTTTGGGGTCTGCTCTCAATTTTCCTGGAGACCTTTCTTGTGTTACCTCAAATTCCTCTCTTAGTAAAGGTAGAGAGATCCGGAAAGTGAAAGGGTCAGTTTGACACAAGCATTTTGGCAGTGGCAGAACTAGATAAATAGCAGAAGTATGTACAACTTCCATCCATTACAAAATCATAAGGAGTCCCAAAGATGTGGGCTTTCCATATTGATTGAACTCTGTAAATTATCCATACTTGGGGACCTAGTTCTTAAAATAATATGTGCTGTCATCTTTATTAAATAACAGTTGTTGTTGAGTGCCTTCAAGTTGGTTCCAACTCTTAGTGATCCTAGATAGGGTTTCCAAGGCTGTTATGTCTTCACGGGAGCCGAAAGCCTCATTTTCTCCCTTGGAGTGACAACCCTGTGGTTACCAGCCCAGTGTGTAACCCACTACATGACCAGGACTCCTAAATAGCAATCGGCAAGGTATCATTTATTTCTTGGAGACTCGAACAATGGATATCGATATGATCTATAGTGTGTAATATTGTCGTATAGGCCACAGGGTTATGTGGGGTTACCTGTTTCTCTGTGCATTGACTCTCCCCCACCTTTTTTTTTTTTTAAGTTGTTGTTGAGTGCCATCAAGCCATTTCTGACCCATAGAGATCCTGTATAGGGTCTCCGAGGATTGGCTGGTGAGCTTGAACCACCAACCTTGTGGCTCAAACCGACTTTGCAGTCCAGTGTAGCTCTTCTCTTCCCTTTGTGTCCTTGGGCTTGTGCGATGATTTTTTTGCTCCTGTCTGTGCATACTTCTAACAACATAACTCCTTCAATTTTTATATCTTGCTGCATTGCCTGAAAGTCTTAGCATTATGTGTAAAATCAGAGTAAGTTGGATTTGAATGAACGCTTTGAGTGAAGCTCCTAAGTGTACTTAAGGCTGCCAGACTCCTGTTTAATTTCCCCGGACTGTGGTTGGCTTGCTTCCTGGCCCTTGGCTATATTTCAGTCCCCATTGTAGAGGTGTTATTCTGGGTTAAGGATGAGAAAACTTACATGTAGAACTCATACATGTTCTTGTTTGAGTCTTACAAGACCCAATTAGAAAGGCAAGCTGTTCTTTGTGATTTTTATTTTTTCAAATGAATAAAGATATAACGCCCAATGGCTCTGCAACTACCCATGCCAGACAGGACCTGGATCCAGTCCTCTGTGTTCTAGATCTGGCCAGACATGGTCCCCGGCCCTTTCTTTGCCTGCCATTTTTCTGTAGCTTGGCCATTTTCAACATGAGACATGTTCTTAGGACCAATTGGTAATGTGACCTTTGAGCTGCTTAGGGTTTTTGTGTTGTTGTTGTTGTTTTTTTTAATTTTATTGAATCGTGATCAGATTGCTTTCGTTTTATTGGGTTGAGGGGGAGGAGTTCACCTTTCACCCCATCCACAACTACAACCGCGCTTCTTTAAAGCTCAAAAACCCTCCTACCCTTCCTCTTTGGCTGAAGGACTTTTGGAACCCTGGGCAGTTACTTATAGGGTTCAGAAGTTATCATTGCCAGTCAAGTGTTCTGGAAAGCAAAGGTTGGAGAGTGGGCCAGTAAGATATCCATTTTGTCACAGACAGACAAGGCCAAATCGCTCACCTAGCAACATTCTCCTTGTGGCTAGAAAGATAGCCTTGGGTCCCAAGGTTTGCAGAGCCTGTGGCTGTGGTCAGTTTCTCCACAGTAGCTGCCTTGGGCTAATGCTGCAAAGGTGCCCAGACTTGGGGGTCTGAGTGCTTACTTCCAGTGACTGTAGCAGTCACAGTCTTCCCCACAGTTTCTGTGTGATGATGATACCCATTTTCTCATCAGTGTACCATTTCGGGGAGCTGGTTGCCACATTGGCCTATAGAGGAGGACAAAGGAGTCTTGGAATGAGATTCCCCAGCTGGGGTGCATGCTGGGGCCTGGATGTCCCCGTGGGTCCTCAGGCTGCCATAGGGGCCAGCATAGGGAACCTCTCTCTTACCCAGCAGGCTTGGCATGAGCTAAAAGCTCTAGGGGTCCTGCATGGTGCTTTCTAGCCGGCTGGCCCGGGGTGTGTCTGATCTGCCTGGTGTCAGGTCACCTGGAATTCCCAGGGCTGAGATTAGACCCTCTCTTCAGAGCACTGCCAACTGCTGGCCTCGCACAGATGAACGCTTGGAACGAGAAAGAAAGTGTGTGGGGATGACAAGCCGCGCTGAATCGCTTTCAGCCCATTGTTCATCCGGGAAGCTGAGAGGGGATCAGAGGGGAACAGGCCCCTTTGAAATTTCCTTGAACAAGTGAACAGGAGCAACCCATAAAGCATGAAAAGATCCTTGGCTATTGCTCCACGGTTACAATGGACCAGGGGGTCTGGGAGGGGGCAGGGGAGGAGGTGCTACTGGGGGTGGGTCACAGGCGGCCCTCAATAGACTCCAGAAGGTTTGAGTTTATTAGACATAAGCCCAGGGAAGCAATTGTCTTGTTAGAGACAGAACCAATTAAGTCCCAGGGACCGTCACGCCTGGCCTGGGGAAGGTTAGGGCAGGGTAGGTCACATTTGGCTCCTCTTTCGAGGGACCTGGATGGACAGACAGTCAGGGGCTTTAAGGACATGTTTTCCTTTCTAGAACCCATGACTGACTTCTGTTTCCCGTGAGGAAACTTTCGGGCCCTGGTCAAGATGGCTGGGGATTTGGGTCCCCATGTCAAATGCCTCAGAGAAAGATGGTTTTATGAGTGACCTGCAT